CTGGTGCCCAGTCCCACTCGCAGCTCCACAAACTTGAAAGTGGGCTCTGATGGTGTTGGTGAAGAGAGTGCTGGTTTTCCCTCAGAATGGGCTATCTGCCATGAACCACAGATTCAAATTGTGGTGAAGACTAGGGGTGACCATACATACACATTTTCAGATGTGTCCTCTTTTTCTATGAATAAATATCTCCAGTTGGATATTTTTTTATATTTTTCTTTTCTTTAAGCTTTATAGATTTCTCATGGTTTTCTTGCTTTTGGTTGGCCCAGGAGGTCAAAAGCCTCTTGCTGTGCTGCAGCACATCTCAGAGTCTCAGACAGGTGTCCAGGAGTCACCCCAGTCACAGACCTAATGCGTGAGTACTAACCCAAACATTTAAATATCAGTCTAAAATGCAAAGGATAACAGGACATACACATGCTGTGAATCTGTCTGCAAAACCTTAAACAGAAATATGGGAGCCCTAGAGCAGAATTTGTTGCAAATGCATTACTCAAGCCTACTTGGTCTATTATTAGTATCTGCCCCTCCATAGTAACAGGTCACGTTAACAGACTGGTACTTGCGTGATCTCTTTGATTCCTCATTATTATCTCCCAACTGTGTCTGAAGCAGAAGTTTCTGACATTGCTCACTGCTGTGGTGGCCACTTCTTGTTCCTGTGGTGCACACCGTACAAAGGCTACTCATCTAATTTCCCCATGACCTCATGGCACAGGATTTGCACCCCACAGCTCCAATGGCTTAGATGGAATTATTCCAGATATAGCTGAATATAATTTCTATCAGAATCTGGACTGTATTTGAACCACATTTAGCCCCTGACTATGTTTCAATTATGTTTCACCTTCCACAGACATTTAAAATGCCCTTGCACTTGCACACTGTTGCAGTGAGTGCAGCCCAGGAGCTGCTCTGATCAGCCAGGCAGAACCTCTCAGTGCAGAAGTGGGTGTTTGTGATACTGGACCGAAGCTGAGACCTGTGCATCTGCTGGACAGCCATCCGAGCCTGAATCTTGCCCTTTTTAGCGAGCTTCGTTTGAGCATGTCAAAAATTGGTTGCAAAAACAACATCTGAAAAAAATCCTTCCAGTTTTAAGGGTAAATGTCCAGAATGTTAATTTATTAAAGCAAGTCCCACCAGACCATGCACGGGCTCTGAAGAAATGGCCCAGAGGCGCACAGCGGACTGAGAGCAAATCCTGAGAGTTTGTTTGAGTAAACTCTTGTACAAGTTGCTTTCTTGTTGCTTCCACACCACACACCCCTTGTGCTCCGAAGTATTTGAAAGACCCCAAGGAAGATTGCACCATGAAAGTGCTCGTGTTAATGCAGCACCCCCATCAAGCACGTGAAACTTTCCCCAGGGCCTCAAGAAGCCCTGTTCCTGACTCTTTGTTTTGCTTCATCAGAGCTCTGCCTGTACTGAAGGGGTTACTGTCTCGTACAATATAACAGTGGGGCTGACTTGGCTGGAACAGACATTAACTTCCACAGTAAATCTGGCAGGAGCTGGTAATTACAGAAAAAGCAGCCAGGGGTCATGGCCAGCCAATGCTCTGGAGTAACAGAGCAGAAAATCAAAACAGAGGGGGAAGGGAAATCATATTCATCATAGTCTTAGGGCTGAGGTCGGTCTTCTCCGAACTATCAGGAGCCTGTCGTCAATTGTTATGTTTAGAAGGAGCCTCTGGAAGATGAGGTAATAATAATGTTAAACATTAACTTGTTAGTGCTCCCGCTGCACTGCAAATTCACCTCCACCCCAGCACAGCTGGGAAGGGGGAATGAATGCTCCCTGGAAACAGCCAGGAATACAGGTCACTAATTGCACTCCTGCATTTGTCCCATTTCTGGCAGGTTTCTAGTGCTAACACGCGACCCAAATGTTCCTACTTCATGAGTCCTGTGCTCTTTCCCCCATCCTGAATTGTTTCCAATCCTCCAGCACATGGTTGTCCCCTCACCATCCCTCCGGAGAGGGGCTGGCAGGGCAAGGGAAGTCTGCCTGCCTGCAGCGCTGCCTCTGAGCTGGCAGGGACAGCGCCCATGCGACTCCTGCACAGGGTGGCAAAGCCTCAGGGATGAAGCAGGAGCAAGCATCAAGTGCCTTCATGGCATCCTGATAAACCCTGGGAGGAAAGAGGACAGGTGATGTTCCTGCTATCCTACACCTCCCCACAGCTCTGCACTCCAACACCTCTCCTTCCAGCCTGAGCTGAAATAGTGGCTGCCCTATAGCTGTGCCAGTAAACAGGCTAGCACTTCCTGAGAGTCCATCCATGAAGCTGTGAGGTCACACAGGATGTGAAGGGTTGTAAAATGCAGGGCAACTAACAGGTAAAATAGTAACTTTGACAGTGGAAAAGTCAAAAGCACTTCAGCTTTGGACTTTGGCTTGGGCTCTCACATGCACAGAAACCATCCCACCATCCTGATGGGAAACCCCATCCTTTGACAGAGTTGCCTGGATTAAACAGGCAACATCCCATTTCAGAAACAGAGGAAAATGGGGCTTTATCCCTGGCCATGGTGCAGTTTGGCACGTACCCTCTGACTGCTTCCTGGCCTTGCCCAGCCCTTCTGTAAATGGAGGGTATTAAACCTGCCTCAAAGATGTGCTGAGGCTTAAATAATCCACAGTTACAGAGCACTGCTGACATATACAGAAGATGAGAACCATTAAAACTGATTCAATTATCACTGGGAATAGAAAAGAACCTGAGGTCTAATGCACAGAAAATATGGATATAACTGATACAGATTGAGCTGGCCCCTGGAAGAAGTCATTGGCATAGGCGGTCCCATGTGCTATGTACACAGTGGGCTTGCTTGTGTGGTAGCCCTGCTCCACTTCGAGGGAGAAGCCCCTCCTTATCTGCTGCAGAGGGGGGCCCAGAACAAGAGACCCTTTTCTGCCAGGCTGGCTTTCTGACTTAGGCTGAATGATCCTGGAGAACGCTGGAGAAATGGTTTGTTTACTCATTAAATGACTAACGAGGTGGCCCCTGTCTGGCCCTCTGCATGCCTGCCAGTGCTCAGTGGAGCGGAGGTGGCAGCCACTGGCAGAGGCAGAGGGTGACCAACTGGCTCAGAGAAGAGAGGGCAGGGACCGTGCATGCCAGCCCCAGGCCACTGGCCCCACCCCACTGGTTGTATCTCATCAGAGTTTACTCTCAAAGTAGTGCTGGTGTTGTAGTAACCCTATAGAAAATGCACATTTGTGACCGCAGTGGAGGGAGCCTTGGTAGCTGTGTGCCACTAGAGGATTAGCAAGCAGTGCATGCCTGCTCACAGCAGCATGTCTGCTCACTGGCTGTCATGCAGCCTGTGGAACACAGCTTATGGAGAGGCGAGAGGTGGCCCTGCCACTTGTGGGCCAGGTTGCAGCTGGGTAATAACCAAGCCAAAGCATTGCACTGTGATGTATTTTCAGGCTGTTTGATGGGCTGCAGTGCATGCTTGGGGCTGGGGCTCTGGCTCCTTTTCCCTGTGTTTCTGTTCAAAAAAAATCAGGACAATGGTAGTCCAATCTTTTTCTTCAGGGCAATGGTAGTCCAATCTTTGCAGGCCCAAGGTGTTAATGCAAGCTTCAGGTGTTCACACAAACTCTGGAGCACTTCTCTGAATTGCAGGCTGCCTTTGTTCAGGTGCCACACCATTCACAGAAACAGGAGTCCACACAGCTGCCCCCAGGACCCACTTGGGTGGTGCTGTGCCACCCAGGCTTTAAGGAAGGCTGAAGGAAGTCAGTAGTGTCACTGGGCATGCAGCTCTCCTGCTGATACACAGGCACAATTTCTCCCACATAGCATTGGGGAAGCATCATTTGCTAGAATTAAATATCTTCACCAGGGTAAAAGGCTCAGGTTTGGACCTCTCTGGGGAGGGGGTCAAGCCGAGTGCCACGTGAACTTTTTTGAACCATAAAATGTAAGGACACACAAAAATAATAGTCCAAGAATCTTCAGAAGATGTGGGAACAATTCTTACTTTAAATACAAGTGCAATTTTCTCTAACCTCAGTGTCATGATTCAGCATTTCTAAAGTAAATAATTTACAATAACAAAGGCAAGGAACTAAGACATTTGTGTGGGATCAAGGTAAAAATGAATTTCGCAACATGAGAGAGATGAAAGGTAGATTATCATGGAAACAGAACATCTTGATCCTACCACTAAGGAAAAGCTGAATCCTCCACCACAAAACCTAGTCTGAGTCATTGTATAATGAACTAAGCACTGCTCACAAAAACTCAGCTCTGAGCTCTTTTTTTCAGATAATAAAAACAGTGCTGATATTTTTATATTGAGTTAATGGTCTTGAAGAAGAGCCACAAAACTGTACTTTGCTATACAAACCTCTGCTGAAGAGGAGAAGTAAATCTGGAGGGTAACAAAGAAATTCTGCATGCACTGTTTACTTACCATGTCATGACACACACACACCCCCAACCCCACCTTACCACGATGCCCCCGGACCTCTTCTTTCCTCCCACATCAGCACCTAAACCCACTTGTGTGCTTGTTGGGGATTACAAGGTCTGTTCTCAGGGCTGTGGAGATTTACAGTACAATTCAAAGAAAAGTAGAAACCCTCCTGCTCTCCCCTAGTGTTTGCCAGTTCTGCTAACACTGAGGAGGAGAATGCCAACATAGCTTAAATCTCAGCAGACCTTTACAGAGCTTGCTCAGTGTTTCTATCCACACTTTACAGCTGGAGAAACACGTTCAAAGGCAGGACCTTGACACTACCAGTGTGCTTTCACAGAATGGATTCAGCTGCCTCAGAATTAGCAAGATGAGCCCTGGCATAGGCAGGTCTCCTTTCCTGGCAGCTGAGTCCCAAAGCCAGCTGAAAGCCCCCCTATTTACAACCATCTCCCAGCAGTGCTAATGCTTCTGCTCTGCTACTACCAAAAGGGATTTCCATGAACATTTTGCCTGGGTGGGGGAAAGATTAAATGGTTTGCCCTGGACCAGTGTACAGGTTAGCGTCAGAACCAGGATAGGTAGCTAAATCTCTGGCTCATGCGGTTAAGGATGTGTGCAGACAATTGGGCTGGGAGCTTGTCATCACCTCTTATGAGGAAAGTGAAAGGGGGAGGCCTCTTGGAGAGCATTAGTGCTTTTATTGCAGAGAGATATTACAAAAGATTGCACAGTGGAACATGTTCCAGAATCAGGAGGGAACTCAACCCTAAATCTTTTGATTCCTTTTGCAGCTGGAAACATGTCACAGCAGGATCCACTGCAGGTCCTAGTGCTGGAAAACAATGGAGATAAATGGTATAAGAAGGCTTTTCTCATATAAAAAAAACACTTTTTTTTTTTCTAACATGAAATTGTTTTCACACAGGCCTCTCCCTAACACTAGAAGGACTGTGACAGGCTGAAGAATGAGTAGATGTGGCACGAGACACAAAGGTGGAATTCAACAGCCGATGGAAAAGACGTTGATCTAAATTATACTTCACTTTAAGGTTGTATGACCCTTTACCTTACCTTTTGACTGGACTTTCTGAATGCTTCCGACACAGATTTCCATACTTGAACCGCAATATTTCAGACACTGCAACTGTAAAACTCAGTGAGGAGCAGCCTGAGAGCTTGACTCCCTCACCTTGAACCTCCTTGGATGTGGTCAGGGCGTAGCCAGCCACTGATGTGTGAAAGCCAGCATTTGCTTGCTCACTCATTTGCTTTCAACCTCCACCCCCTATAGCCATTGAAATGTTGCTTTTGGCAAGAACTGGGGCACAGGGGAGGGACAATTACCACGAGCACTCATTGTTTGCAGAATGTTTTTCTTAATGCCTTAGAAAAAAAGAGAAAAGGGTCAGGTTGAAAGGTCAGCCGACCTTTTTGTTTTCTTTGGAATGAGAAATTCAAACTCTTCAGAAAATGTTTTATTAGCTCTTCTGAATTTCACTTTCCGCAGAGGTTTTCTCTCCAGGCGATGTTTAGAGACACCAGCAAGGAGTGCTCACGCTTATCAAGCTGAAGGTGATTTAAGGAGAAGGACAAGATCTGCACTTTAGGAAATGAAAAGCAAATCTTCGCTTCAAGTTTTGTTATGAAAGAAAAAAACCCACTTGCTTGCTGAGGAAGGAGGAGCTTGGAGAGTGAGCAAAGGGCTGTGGAGTCAGTTTTACATTAGTCCTGGTCCGCATTCACTGGAAACTGCTCCGTTTGAACCACCAGCTAGTCACTCACACCAGGGGCATTCGCAGCCTCCCGCACAGATAGCGAATGTTTCCCGGACAAGCCCGCACAGGGCATTTCGGCATTCCAGCCTCGGGAGCGGGGCGGCAGCCGAGGGCACGGCCGTGTCCTGGGAAGGAGCACAACAGCGGGCTGGCATTGAGTGCAGCCGTGCTCCGGCTCTGCCTGCCTGACCCCTCTTCTCCCTGTGGAAAAACACAGAAAATGAGATTCCTCTCCTTTGTGAAGGGCTTTCAAACCTGATGACAAAAGGCAGTATTCAGAGCTGGAAACTATTATTGTTCTTCTCTGGGGGCATTCAGTCCAGGACAGGTTGGAGATTCAGCAGTAAATGAGGATAAGAAAATGCCATTTACTATAGCATGTATGTGAAATAAAAGACTTCATTATCTTCATTTTGGTAACTTTTCTTACCGCCTTATATTTGGCGGTAAGTGTATTTCCGAGGTAATCCAGGTAGTTCTGTTCATGCTAATGTCTCTCAGAAAGGCTGATATCTATATTTTTTCATTTTCAGAGCTGCGGTCATTGAGATGTAAAAGATGTGGGCACCAAAAAGAGATGTTCCTGAAATTAGGGTCATCAGAATAGTGTGGGGCCCTCAGGGATGGAGTTCAGACCACCATCTTCTCACCATGGATGTATGAGTGAAAAGAGACTGGTTTAGCATACAGCCTGTCTTGATAAGCAGACACTGAAAAATCTTGAGTTTTGCATTCATACTTCTCAAAATGCTTCACACCAGGAGCAGGCATCACTTCCCCTTCCACCTGTACTACAGCACACAAGTGCCAGGTCTACCTGATATATTGCTATCAGGTTTAGAGCTGATTGCAGGGATGTGAGTTGCAAACACAGGCATGTCTGTGCATGGGAGTGAGCAGCCCCATGTCAGAGATCCAAGAAGCAGGTCTAAATAAACCAGGGTAACACTGGGTGCAGAAATTAGCTCAGCTCTTGGAAGCAGAAGAGTTGTGTCAGCAGGGCATCCATGCTGGAGGTAGCCCAGATGATAAACCTGCTACCTGAGATCCAGCATGGCTGCTGGGCTTCCAAGCTCCACGGCAATGGTTCTTTAGGTTTGGGAGAGAGCTCAGGGGCTGCAACACCACAGGTCATGAAGCAACACAGACACCTTTTCTTTGGAGGTAGGAATAGAGGGGATAGCTTACTGTGGTCCCTTCCTATTTACACCTCCTTCATCAGTATGTCTGGGTGACAATTTTGTCTAGCTCAGGAAAAGCAGTGGCTCCCCATGGGTTTCAGCCAACCTCCAGAGCAAGCCATCAGGAGGACTTTACATCCTCAGCAGAGCTCCTGCCTCAGGAGTCAACCCCCAGCTCAGAAGACAAGCCCAAGTACAGCTTCTCTCCAAAGAAGCAATTCTTGCTTCCTCACCCAGAACAGCGCTGCCCTGCTGCGTTGTCTGTGCAGTGCCACCAAGCCCTGTTTCCCCACAGGTACCAGACTCTGGGTGCTGCACAGGACGGGGATGGTGCAGGCTCATCCTCTGTAGCTTCACCAGACAGGCATTTTGGTCAGCTGCCAGGGTTTGGGATGGCAGTTTGATCCTGCAGAATAAACCCATGGATTACAGATCGGAGCAGCGTGAGTTTCAGAGATAGGCACCCCACATGAATCCGAGCTACAAAAACAGAGCCCTGACCCTCTCCTCAGGCAGGGCAACCAACGCCCTGGCAGCTCGGCGAGCGGGCGGGCTCTGTTACCTAATCTCCAGCTGTGGGCTCCGCGCCGTGCCAAGTCTCCTTTGGCTCTGTCTAGTAATAATCGTTTCTGGAGTCCCGCCAGGGCCTCCTGCCAGTTCCAGTCACACTCTACTAATGCGAGAGGCAGAGTTTATTAATTCATCGCCAAGGCCCATTGTCTGGGACACTGCCTGGCTGTTTATTTACTCCAATATGGTCTGTATTTACTCAGACAGAGCAAGCGAGGGGACTTTGTTTAACTTTGCAAGACCTTCTGCTGGAGGAGACATGTGACCTTATGCAGAACTTCAGATAAATGCACAGAGCTCAGGAAGGACCTTTTTTTCAAGTGTGGCCTCAAATAACACCGGTAGCCAGTATTGACAAACTGTAGCAAAGTGTAATAAAGGAAAAGAAAACATAATAGAGTTCTCATTTGAAATACATTTGTGAGTGTTTCAAAGATAAAAGCAGAAAAACAAGTACGTACCTTAGGACTGAGGCCACGAGATAGGGATTTGCAGCAAAAGGAAAGGGTTTTGCCTACAGAAAGGGACAAGTCAAGACATGTTAACCTGAGGCCACCCTCCCTTTTCCACCGGCCTCCAGCAGCGTGAGGCTGCAGCTGGAGGTGAGCAGAGCCTCCTGCTGAGGACATGTCATGGCACCTGATGGCAGCATGCTGGCTGTCATACCAAGGATCAATTGTAAAGCCCATTAAAGCTTTGTCAGTCAGGAGAGTATTTTTTCCAGGTAATCCTGCTGTATTGGCATAACCCTTAGTGTGAATTTCTCTTAGATTAAATGTGTCTTCTGCTAATGTAATAGAAACTGATGATTAAATATTATGTTTTCTTCAGCAATAAAACCTGTTTAAGGAACTCCTGTCTTCTTGTTCTTGCTCTCACTTCACACACGGTTCTCAGTTGCACCTTCATTTGTTGTGAAATTGTGCTGTGGACTGAATCTTTGCAAGAATGTCTATTTGGGAATGAAGAAAAACAACCCAAACAAACTTTCTCCTGATAATATACTATATTTGCAGTCCTGGCTGAAACACCTTAATGTACTTGTATACTGGACCAACTCAGTTCAGGGAAAGGCTACTGTATTCTTTAATTCCCTGGTTTATTCAATGTGGTAGGACTTGTGCATGCATGCATGTGTATATACAAACATACAACTACTTACATGCATGTGTGTATTTATAGAGACAATCCCCCTGGGAGTGGGGGTAGGGAAAAATACAGCCATCTGAACAGTGCATGCTCTAGTCTGGCCTGTTTTAAGTCAGATCCTCAATGCTATTGTAACATGGTTTTGTGTTTAATTTCCTGTGTTTGTAACTCAAGCCAACTTCCAGTGTTGCTTGTGTGAGTGTTTGTTTGGGTTTCTCTGAGGGCCTTTCTTTTGTTGGAAAGTGTGAGGATTTTAACATAGCTGTTAACACCGAGCTGAAAAGCCTGATCTTGTTTTCACTGGGGCAACAGCTAAATCACCCATGTGCTGCAGAGGGAGCGGTGCTGGTTTCGGTGTCCAGCATCATCTCCACACACCCGCCCCCAGGGAAGGGTTCCCTATTTTTTGCACCACTGTGAAAGACCTGCTGTCTTAAGCAGCAGCCCAGGCTGTGACTGACAGAGCAGGTGGATTTAGTTCCCGCATCTCCAGTTTTCCTGTCTTTGCTGGACATGCCCCCACCTCTGCAGGGGGATGAGCAGGACACACTTCACTGGCTACCCCATGCCACTGCTTCATACCTTTGTGCAAACCCACTAAATGTGCCCAGTTGTCATGTCAGCATGGAAAGCCCGGATGCTTCTCCCTTTGGCCTTGCCAGCAAGGCCTCTCTGGGCATGAACAAGGGCACTGCTTCCTCCCTGCTGCCTCTGGCCACCCCTCAGTGTGCTGCACACTTTATGCAGGGACAAGGGACCTCAGAGCACTGATGGCACCACCCATGGAAACTGTTTTTGCTGGGGGGTGATGGGGTTTTCTGTGACCAGCTGACCACAGCACCACTTCCCTTTGGGGGTGTGATGGCTTGAGCCCTGTCCCTGTCACTGGCAGCTGAGCCGGACTGTGGCATGGCCGCTCCTCCTGCACTGCAGGGCCTGTTTGCACTGCAGGGCCTGTTTGCACTGCAGGGCCTGTTTGCACTGCACGGCCTGTTTGCACCGCACAGCCTGTTTGCACCGCACAGCCTGTTTGCACTGCAGGGCCTGTTTGCACTGCAGGGCCTGTTTGCACCGCAGGGCCTGTTTGCACTGCATAGCCTGTTTGCACTGCAGGGCCTGTTTGCACCGCAGGGCCTGTTTGCACTGCACAGCCTGTTTGCACTGCAGGGCCTGTTTGCACTGCAGGGCCTGTTTGCACTGCAGGGCCTGTTTGCACTGCCAGCAGCCTGTTTGCACTGCAGGGCCTGTTTGCACTGCACGGCCTGTTTGCACTGCAGGGCCTGTTTGCACTGCAGGGCCTGTTTGCACTGCAGAGCCTGTTTGCACTGCAGGGCCTGTTTGCACTGCAGGGCCTGTTTGCACTGCACGGCCTGTTTGCACTGCAGGGCCTGTGTGCACTGCAGGGCCTGTTTGCACTGCAGGGCCTGTTTGCACCGCACAGCCTGTTTGCACTGCAGGGCCTGTTTGCACTGCAGGGCCTGTTTGCACTGCAGGGCCTGTTTGCACTGCACGGCCTATTTGCACCGCACGCTGCCACCCTGGGCTGCTGCCTCCTCCTCCACAGGCAGTGCTGCCTCCCCAGTACACATAGTGGCTGATTCCATGTGTTTGTTTACTGGAGAAGTTTTGCAATGGAGTGCGAAGGGAGGGATACAACCTCAGGGTATCACATGTGGGGTAGTGCCAAAGCAGGGGGCAGGTGATGGGTGGGTTTGTGTCTCTGTGCAGAACAACACCCATTGCCTTCCCTGGGTTTTCCTTTCCTCCATAGTGGAAGAAGGAAGGTGCAGTAGAAGTTCAGGATGCTCAGGATAATCTTCTGATATGTATTGTGAGGGCCATGTTATTCTTCTGTGAACTGCATTCTCCCAAAATGCCTAGAAGTGAGAGGATCAGCTCTTGGGAAGTGGGTACCTGGGCTGGGCAGACCCCAGCATTTCTCTGCCATAGCACACCACCACTGTTAGTCCTCCCAAGTGCTCATATTAACACCTGCTGGTTCAGAAGAAGAGTGGCCTGGTGTTTTCAGTGAGGGGTTCCCATATATATGTTCTACTCCAGCCTACTTCAGTCCAGATTAGGGAATTTTCCATGCTTTTGGGGTCTGGGGCTGGTATTCCCCAGTGGTTTATTTGGAGTAGCATGTGAATCCTAGAGGGTGTGTAATCTTATGTTGACCATTGGGCCTCATTTGTGTATTTTTTTAGTTAATTTTTAAACACTGACCTAGAGCTCTGTATCCATTTTAAAATAATCCAAATTATAAATAAACAGACTGCCTAGCATGGGCTTGGAATAATAAATCAGGAGAAAAACAATTAAACACAACAGAAAAAAAAATTGGTCTTGAGAGAAAACAGACATTGAAAGAAGAAAAGGCACACCAATATATATTCTAGAGGGAGAAGGAGAAGTAATACAAGACTGAAAGAAAAAAAAGGTAAAGAAACTTCATGTGCTTAAAAACTTTAAAAAAAGAAGGCTTGAATTCAGGCAATTAATAATGCAGCATTAGCACAAACATTTCTGTTAGGCTTAATTACAAGAGATTCATCTTAATGAAAAGTCAATCCTCTAAGCAGCTCTTAATATTCACCTTCACTGCTTGTACCTGCTAACTGAGCCTATAGCTGTATCACATCAAAGATTACACACAGCTGAGCTTTCCCCTCCCCGAGGGGCTGGTGAAGGCAGCCTGGCCATGGGGGCAGAAGGCAGCCTAGGGGCAAGGGCACCCCAGCAGCCATGGGGAGGAACAGGGGCGCATTGCCCTCTTGTGCAAGTAGCCCAGGCTGTTTGCTGCAGATAGGGGAAGGAAAAAGCAAGAGTGGCTTTTCACTTGGCCAGCTGATCTTTATTACCTCTGAGTTTGGTGACACAGGCAATGGTATTTGGTTCTCACTTGAGGAAGCGTGTTTGGCAGTGCAGTAGGTGGGAGCCATTCACTGGCACTGTGGCCTGTTCACTCGTGGGTCTGAACCGCCATACCTATTCACAGTCTGTTTATTCTGTATCATCTCTCTGGCAGCAGCCAACATTTCTTTTTCCAGAAGATGCAAGAAATCTTCTATACTGATCTGTCCTGGAGAAAACTGCTTCACTGTTACCAATAGCACGAGTTTGATTTATGTTTTTCATATTGCATCTCTAATTTAATGTTGAAAGTCAATGTTCTTGCATAGGACTATCTAGCTTCATTTACTCTTGGACACAGTGATGTGGCAGTAAGCATGCTGACTAATTACATACTGTATCTGAAAAATGAAGGCAGTGCTGTGGTGAAAATGGACTGCCATTGGACCAGCAGTGGAGTGGTGAAAATGGACTGCCACTATGGCACTAAGGGGACTGAAGTCACTTCCATCCCTCCTGAGACACAGACACTCACTGCAGATGTGAAGACACAATGCCAAACTCTGGGCATTTTGGTAGACCAGTAGGGTTGGAAAGCACAGGGCATCCCTTGTGTGCCCACCAGGACTGGCATTCCCAAAACAGCCATCAAGCTCCATATAAAAGAGCACAGAGACCTCACTTCTCTTGAGCAAGGCATGTTTGGTGTACACTGCTGCTGCAGTAAGACCAGAAGGGGGCCTGGTGGCTGTACTGGTCTGTAATCCACTCATCTATGAATCCTGTGATTCCAATGGCTACAGCACTGTTTCTGCCTTCACTTTTCTATCTCTTCTCTTCCAGGCAGAAAGCCTGGGACGTCCAGTTGCCTTAAGCTTCAAGGACCAGTCCAACTCTCGAGGGACCCATGCTATCTCCAGCTTGTGTCACAGGATGGTTTAAATGTTCACAGAGTACTCACTGCCTACAGCACGTAGCATGCAGAACTTCCCCAGACCTTAAAACAAGTGACAGCACAGTATGTAAACCTTGGTGACAGTAATGAATGTCACCAGCATGGGCTTGCCGATATCCTGGTATTCCATGAGACACAACTTCCCCCACCCCCGCCCCCACCACTGCAAGCAAGGGAATTCCCAGTGGGATGCAGATAGGTGCTTTCTGGTCCTCATCCTCTTCACACAAGATGTAGCTGGTGTTTCAGGCTGGGTTTTCAGCACCCCATCAGTGGGTTATAAAGTTGCTAGGAACTAGAAGACTTGCTCTGGGTGACAGAAACTAAGTCAAAGTGACAAAGCTTCAATTTAAGTATTCCAGACAAAACTCTTACATTAGATGGGATGAATCATGAGTTAAACACCTTTGTAAAACACTTTGGGATCCTTCCTGCATTTCAAGTGAGCTGCACGGTATAGCCACCTTTCCCAAATATTTAACCAACAGCCCTGACAGGAGCAAACATCCAAAGGCATCACATTGCTCATGTGATGCCTGCAATTGTGAGGCTACCAAAGCACTTGGCAGCCTGAAGGGCAAACAAAAGGGATAAATGGCGAGTGTGGTTGGTTCCTTCTGAAAAGCAGTCCCAGCACAGTGCAGCATCTTGGAGCATAATATCCCAAAGCATGACTGGCAGTGATTTGCATCAAGGAATAGTCTCCACGATATCCACAGGGATATTTATGTCTGACTAAACAAGCACCACCATACGTGGTGCATTTAGCACTAAGTAATTCCAAAGGGAGTCTGGAAGCAAAGATTTTCAGGCACCTGAGAGGATGCCAACACTGCAACATAAAGGCATGGCCAGAAACTTTGTAACTCTGCAAGAGCTAGCTTTAATTACCTAGCTCAGGTACTGATAATGCAGCACAGATTAGCTGCTCAAATATTTAGTTTTCTTGGGCCAGTTTTCCATCCAAGGCTGAGTCTCACAACACTATGGGTAGACTGTAAGTTCTGACAGACCCTGACTAAACAAAGTCCACCACTGTCCTGGAACAGAAGGTCTGTTCAGTCTTTCACTTCTCAATCAGTGATTGGAAGCTGGTATACCATGCAAACAAGTACAAAGCAATCCAAAATTCCCACCACGCCACCAAGCTCTTCCCCTTTTTTCTTGAGTATGTTCCACAGGAACTTTTGCTGAAGTTTCATGAAAAGCAATCACAGGCAGTCTGCCGTTTCCATCCTTGGCCTTGTGGAACATTTGATGTCCATACCTCTGGCATGATGGATGTGATGCCTTCCATGGATGCTCCTGTCTGGCCAGAGCATTGTTTGCAGATGGATGTGCAGGCTGAGGGCTGTGGAGCCAGGACCAGCTGGCTGAATGGATTGCTGAAGCTGCTCTTGCACAAGGACCAGGGGGTTTTGGGTGGCAAAGGCAGAGGGTGAAGCCCTGCAGTGGGCCAGCTGGGGCAGAAAAAACTGTGGTTTCAGCATTTACAGGCCACACCAGAGTAATAAATAACTACTATAAAGGGTTGAACTGGGGACTCCACGTACCTGTAACATGGTAATGTTTTGAAATGAACGGCTTCTGGAAACACTGAGTAAACAGGTCAGAAGGTTTGGTGACTTCACATATTGGAGAGATAAAAATTACACATTGCAGAACGAGGAGGAGCCAAATTCCATTCTTTGCTGACATCCAACCAAAGGCAAACATGGCAGCACAAGCTGCATGCTCACAGGGATTCAAAACTAGGCCTTTTGCCACAGCTTCCAAGCACCTGCTATCTCTTTGTTATCTTCTTAGAGGAAAGGATCAGGGCTTATTTTTCTGTATTTCCAGCTACCTTTGCTAGGGATCCAACTGACTTAGTTTTCTAGCACAGACAGCAAGAAGCAGTTATTTGCTGGGTCAGCTTTAGATCCCTGGCTTCTCTATGAATCTCTCACTGGGCTACTTCTATTCTCAAAGAGCCTTCTAAATAACATATACAGTTTCAAGCCA